TGCCTTCTTTCCAGTGAGAAGCTAAACACTCTTTACCTGAAAGAAAGGTTCTCCATATTTGCCAAAACATGCAAGACAGTTCTCTTATAAACAGAGAAATTCTGGCTTTCAAGTAAGGTTTTCTGGAAGGGTCAATTCTGTTCTACCAAGTGATTAAAGCTTGAATAGAAAAGATTCTCTGCTTCTAAGAAAAGCACCTTCCACATTTAAGCTCCTCTGAGAGTCACGTTTTGTTCACATGTGACACAGTTACCACAGTGCATTGCCGTGCAACTGTGTTGACAATGGGGGAAACAGCCACTTTTGCACAGATAAGTGGGAGTCTCAAAGGACTGAGAACTCTGCAAGGTGTGTGTTCAGCCAGACACTGCCCTGCAGAAAGCAGGGGTTGGCCAGAAATTTCCATGAAACTGGGTCAGGTGGTTTACCCAGCAGCCCGACAGTTTTCCTGAACTGTTGCTGCAGCAACACAAATGACATCAATATCAATTGATTTATACAGAAAACCCCCTCAAGTCTCTAGTAATTTTAGACAAAACATGGCTAATACAAAAATAAACCAAATATATAGCTGACAATGAACTGATACAAAATTCTACATTTTGCCCACAAACTCTCAATTTTTGTGTTATTTTCCCAAGCACTAAGACTTGAAGATCAGTCTCGTTTTAGCCTCAACTATTATGTCCCATATTCTCTACATGCTGCTCCTTTTCATGGGTGTGGTGTGTTCCTGCTCTCACTGCTAGGAGCCACATCTCAATGTTTGCATTTCCTGACCCGCTCCTAACCAGGTTTCCAGCGATATGCTCCTTCTCGGTTGATTGCTACTATGTTCGTATTATCACATGCCCATTTCCTACCAATCTGAGAATCTTCCTTAGCCCCCACCTGTCTGGTAGTCCTGCCTATTTGTGAACAGTGTGTCTGAATTCCCTATTTACTGGGCCAAGGTCACCTGTCAATGGAGGAGTCACACAGATTACAGAAGAGCCCGGCTCTGGTATTGGAATATTTCAAGGTTAATTCCAGCTCTGCCATTTACCTCTTCAGAGGTTCTGAACCTGTCCCTTCAGCTCTTGGCTTTTGGTAAACTTACTTGAAAATCAGGACTAATAAAATCGATGTCGAGAGGTCATATGAAAATTAGACATAATGTCTACAGTACTATGTTGGTTCCCTTCACCTATGCTATCTATCCTGCCTTTGTTTACATTAGACCTCTGACTCTGATGCTCACCCTTACCCCATCTTCTACTCCTAAAGCTTCAAAGAAGGTGTTAACCGAGGATAGGAACAACTATGGGGGATATATTATACTATGGGGATCCTTTCAAGTAAACCCCAAATTAAATTGTATTTTTTTAAGCGTAGAAGTGGAAATCCCATTAATGGGAGATTATTTCCTGTCAAGAGAAATACTTGAATAAGATCTCATTTCTTGGAATCCTCTCAGCAAAGCAAGAACCAATGATTCCTCATTCCCATGTGGCTGAGAAATCAACAAATATTAACAAAGTACTTATTAAACTCTAGATACTAAGGTACTAAAGATATAAACCCATGATCTTGCTATGTAGACATAATGACCAATTATGAAAGACAGGAGTCTGACACACATTCAGAAAGAAGGATGTGTGTGACAATCAAACTATCATAAAATAATGTAAAAGGAAGAAGACAGAGTAGCTAAGTTTATCTCAGAAGAGTCCACATGGTAAGTTCACATAGATAGTGTGCTATCAAGTTCAGATGTGACTCTTAAGAAGAGGAGAAGGCTTGTTGTAACTGGGCAGGGCTTCCAGGAACAGAGACAAGTCTTTCTGAGAAGGGAAACTATATAGACAAAGGTATACAAAGAGCTGGTACATATCAATAGGAATCAAAAGTTTTATCACTAAGGCTTAGGTTGGGTTAAGTTGGGGAGTATAAAGGAGAAAGAATACCAGCTAAGATGGTACACAAGCCAGGGAGTGAGTTTGAGTTTTATCCTAAGAGCACAAGAAACTGAGAGCATGGTGACTAATTCCAGGTTTTTCACTAGCTGAGATTTTTGAGGCTTATATATCGTGGTGTGAAGCTACAGGTGCTCTGACACATTCTAAGCCAATGAAATGCTATGTGAGAAAATAGCGGATGATCTTTCCTAAGGAAGCCTGAGTAGTGGTGTTGGGAGAAGCAATGTGAGCACAAAGGAGGTGAGCCATTCACTGATTGCTGGGTACCAACAACAGACAAGCAAATAGGAGAGGATGGCAAAGTCCTTAGGCAATATTGACAGCAACAGGGATGAGCCACAGTCTAATAGGATAGCTTGTACATTCACAGCAGAAATTGTCACTTCTAGAGATGGTCTCTCAGTCTCCTTCCAGAAACAGGGTATCACAATGACATCATTTATCTAGTCCCCAGGGAGATTCAAGGTGGCATGTCATAATCAGTATGAACTTAGGACTCAAAGGGGCCTGGACATGAAGAACTTTTTGTTCACTTCCTTCATGTATGACTTCAGCAGTTTACCAACTTTTAAAGCATGCCTCAGAGGTCTCAGGCTCTCTGTCTCTGTCTCTGTCTCTGTCTCTGTCTCCTTCCATAGATTGAACCCTGAACATCATGCATGCTAGGCAAGCATGCTACCAGCCAGCTATATCCTCAGACTTTTTATATTCCTTTTTTCATTTTGAGACAGTGATTCGCTAAATTAACAGGACTGTGGTTGAACTTATTCTATAGCCCAGGTTGGCTTTGAACCTGCAATCACCCTGCCTCAGCCTCTTGAGTGGCTAAGACTATAAGCCTATGCCAACATAACCAGCTAGAGGTTTTTCTTGAAGAATAGGAAAGAGCCTGTGTGCAGAGTACCTAGAACATTCCTTGGCATATGGCAGATGTTCCATGGGCTAAGTCTAGCCCATGCTATACCCAAAATCACAGAGAACAGGGATGGCCCTCCAAGAAGAATAAGGAATGGAGAAGGAGAAGAAATTAGTCAACTCTTAAGTGCCTTAGCTAATTAAATCTAAATCCTTCTAGTGGAGACAGTAAGTGCATATTTTTCTGTGAGGGCGTGTTTGACTGTTACTTTGCAGTTGGTATTAACACAGATAGCAGGAATATGACTGCTAATTACATCTTCATTGAGGTCTACCCACAACAAATATACAATTAAGATGTCAGGAATGAGGCTGGGAAAGAGAAAGCAAAAGAACATGAGAAGTCCTCTATGAAAGATCCTTCCTTTGGTACACCATTAATAACCCTCTACTTCCCTGGCCAACTAAGTTTATTCTCAAACTGATGCTGTTAATGTAATGGTGCTGAAATACATGATCCGCATCCTTAAGCTTACTTTCCGCATCTGATAAAAGGACACAGGGATGGGGAGCTTACAGGCATCTAAGACTCCATCTTTTCCTCTTTTTAGTCCAAGCCAACGTGGCTGCTCCATGCAGAAGAGTGAGATTCCCGATGCCAAAAATTAGGAAGCTCCTATGCCTAAAAGTAGCTGGAGAAGCCAAATGAGCCAAGTGGTGGCAATTGTGTGACTCCAGGAAGGACTTCTTTCACATTCTACCAAGACAGGGACAATGATGAGATGAACTGACCACTTAATCCTGAGCCTGTTACATCCTGTAGATACATCATGTTCCAACAACACAGTCTATCCCAGAGGCTCAAGAAAGTCCTCAAGGCTGTTTATAGGGTAACTCAGATCAGCTCATCATAAGAAAGATGTAGGTGGCAATTTCTTGTGATAACTACTAAAATGCCATAGCCTAAATACTAGGAAACAGAGTCTGGAGAGATGACTCAGGAGGTGAAAGCACTTGTTGCCATAGGTGACAACTTGAGTTAGAACCCAGGGACCCACACGATGGGGAAAAAAAAGAGACAAATCCCTCTTGTAAGTTGTCCTCGGACTTCCACCCATAACTGGTGATACCTGTACACACACACACACACACACACACACACACACACACACACACACACACTCACACACACACTGAATGAATAAGTATAATTCAGTAATTTAAAATAAAATAACAGAAAACACTAAGTACTTATATCAACCTTAATTCCCCTTAAGAAGGAAGCTGTGTTTGTTTGAAAGACTACCTAGTCCCAGGTTGGCTTAATTTAGCACTATTCCCTTAAGTAATTAAACAAACCTTCTCTATCAGATTTCCTTCCCTCGAAAAGGGACCCTAAACCTGCAGTGGAGTCAGTGACAGAACATCTACCTACAAAGCTCTACAGAGTACTTTCAACAACACCAATGTCCCTCTCAAAATATCTCCAGCCACAAAGACAATGCAAGAACTTTATTTCCAGCTCTTTTTCAATAGTCAATCCATGAAGTTGACCACAGTACCACATGGCTATCAAAGGACAAACTCAGCAACTATCTCCGTGAGTGAGAATTGTCCTCACAATGCATATCTAATGTCAACGTGGAACAATGTCACCAGTCTCTACGCAAGACTGGCATAGGGATTAGCAATCCCAAACCAGCCCATACCTGCAAAGATCAGGAGGAAAGAAGACGGTGGGAGAAGAGATGGATATTGTGTCTCTGAACTGATAGATTTGTTCCCTTAGAAGAGAGTAATGCTGAGTCCCTTTTTAATAGGATCTTAGCAAGGTAAAATTCGCACAGCAAATGATATCCTGACAGATCGTGGTACTATGAGGATCTCACGGAACAATAACATCAGTAGAACCCCAGCAGCTCCCTCCTTAAGCAAGGATGTAATTGGAGCCCCTTTTCCTTCCTCTCTAATCAGAATAGTAAAGCCAGATGGTCTCTCCTCGGAGCAGCACAGCTCACTAACCTACATAGTTCCTGGAGCAGAAATGAGTCCTCTATCAAATCTGCTGATTTGCTCTGCTCCAACTCCCAGAGATCAGGATCAACTTCCCCACAGAGATTGCCTGCTCTGAGCTCTAGAAGCCACTCTTGGGTAAAGGCTGGGGCAGGAGGAGGAGGGACCACTCACCATTTGATTGCTGTACCAGTACAGCGATGACCCCTTCAGCACCACCCAGAACTTTTTCCATTTGTTGCTTAGGAAAGTTCCCTTTTCCTTTTTCTTGTACAGCCAACCCTGGCAGTCAGCGTGGCCCAGATCTTTACACGATATCCTCCTCCGACTCATGCTGAAAAAACCTGCAATGGTTATACGAACAGGTTAAGTGTGACCCAACTCGGGTGGCAAAATAAAAGGCAACTTTTAGTTGTTTGCACAGCAAAGGTTGGATGTTTTCAGTCATGCAAAGTAACTGTTAAAAGGAAAAGAAAAAGGAAGAAAGGGGAGAGAGAGAGAGAGAGAGAGAGAGAGAGAGAGAGAGAGAGAGAGAGAAAGGGAGAGAGAGGGGGAGGGAGGAAGGGATAAAGAAAGAAAGAAAGAAAGAAAGAAAGAAAGAAAGAAAGAAAGAAAGAAAGAAAGAAAGGAATTCTATGTATCTGTTCTATTTTTAAACATTCATTCGGTGCCTAGAAAACCCAGGCAAAGAGGCAGTGAGACTTATATGCAAGCATAGATCTGAAAACCTTAGTCAAAGAGTAAGTTGAACACGTTCAACTCTCGGGACTAGCAGACACATTGAAGCAGACACACGGATCCTGCCCACAGGAACAGCGGCAGTTATGCAACAGACACCGAAGGGTTAAAGCCCACCTAGGACCCCAGGGACTTCCTAACTCAGCGGCAGCTTCTCCATGCTCTGTGGACAAAGCACGAGGGACTAGTCCAAGTGAACAGCATGTCATTCTTTCTTAAAATCAGTCCAAAAGCAATCCCCCAAAATTAATCTGACATCCATCTCCTGATATTAAATTCAGACAGACAAGAATCCGATCCCCTCTTCAAGAAGGCATCAAGGAGAAAGGAAGAAAAGAAATCACACTCACAGGCACAAGAAAGGGATAAAGGAACAAAAGGGATCTAATTACCTTGAGTTTTCTTCCTCGGCTTCTGACGCAAGGGAACCTGCTGGAAATGCAGGAAGGAAAGAAAAGAGGCAATTTCTGATTGTGTTGTAACATTTGTAAAGGAGAAGGAGGGAGGGGGCGGCAGTGTTTATGAGCAGGGTGGATTCTAAAAAAAAAGAAAGAAAGAAAGACTCTCCAAGCAGAGCTCAAGGGGAGCTACGAGCTGAGGCACAAAATGTGCTAATTAGAATCGATATACATCGAGCTGAACCTGGAAAAAGGTAACAGGGCATTTATCTGTAGGGCTTCCTGTTTCCTCCCACAAGCAACTCTCGCTACTTCTTGGGTTATTGAGGGCACAGTGCTTGATGAAGTTTTAGAAAATCATGAAATACTTTACCTACACATTTTTGTAAGAGAAGAAACAACATCTCTTTTCTCTCTTGATTTCTAAACAATATTGAGTATTTAAATAAACCCCGAGAATAATTGTTTCCATCTCAAGCTGTTAAATGTTCACAACAGACTAACTTTGTGGTCTTCCTAATATGCAGGGCATTAACCACCTAAACCACAGGCATTAAATACCCTTGGGAAAGAAATTCCTTATCCTTCTTGTATGACCTCAGGGACTCTAAAGCCTCCTGATTGGGAATTTCTTATTCTCAGCCAAATTTACATATCTTTTTCTATCTTTATCTCTGAATATTTCTCACATGCTTTATAGATGATAAATATTCAAATATTCAAATCAGACATGACAATTTATATAAAATATACATTTTCCACAACACATTATCATCAAGTCATGTAAAACCAGATTCCAAACAAAACTGGAAAACCCAAAGAAAAAATTATGCTTGCAAAGCTCTCTCTCTCTCTCTCTCTCTCTCTCTCTCTCTCTCTCTCTCCTCTTTCTCTGTGCAAATATTACAGAGAACTTTAGCTTTAAAAAAATCCATTTTTCTTTAACAGCATCTAAGATGAAATTTTTTGGGCTTAGATCATTTTCATTTATTGTTAGTAAGCAGAGACTTTAACATGTAAACACGCAGTTAAAAGTGGCTCTAAAAGTTGGTATGGAAGGTAATTTCATGAACTTCGGGGTATTCTAGATGAATCTAGCTGGTAGTCCACATCTCCAACTACTGATGAATGGTGTGTGTGACTCTGCTGTATGTTTGGCAAGGGAATATGATCTACAGTAGAATTAGGATAGAATTTTTAAAGCCATGGGCCCAGAATTAACAAGGAGAAACTCACTCTAAGCCTATTTCCTCATTTGTAAAATCAAGATATATACAAGAAATAATCAGGAGGCTGAGACGGGGGATTATCACATGACTAAGGGCAGAATAGACACACACATGGATATATATGACACACACATAAGTGTGTGTGTGTGTGTGTGTGTGTGTGTGTGTGTGTGTGAATTCTAATCCCATAAGTCTCAAAGAGAGCTGTCAAGATTTATTTGCAAAAATATTCTGATAACTAAAAATCATGTTTCTGTGAATGCATCATGGAGATATGCAAAGATAAGCAACACTTAATAAATGAAACTCATCATTTTACAGTAAGCATGACTTGTGTTACCCTCAGCAGGGAGGATGGAGTTAAGGTCAAATTGTGTTTCTTCAGGGACATGAAACCAATGAAATCATGACCTGGCTTTTTATTTTATGAACATCATTTCTTCTCTTGGATCGCTGATCTCTCCGAGGATAATGCTTAAGCAAACTCAACATATGTCCATCATGGCATGCTAGTTAAATCTAAACATACGACCCTGTTAAGGGGCTCATCTCCTCTCCCTCTCCCTAATATTTCCCACACTGCCAACTTCTTGGTCTAAAATTCCCACCACTCCTTAGTCTCTGGGCTTTGTTTGTTTCTTATTATGCCAATATCCTGAGACCAGTAAACCCAGTTAGTACCTACTGGTTATTACAGTCCAGTTGAGAGCTGGGGCTAAAGACCAAGAGAGTAAAGTTTTGATAGTCATTAAGGCTTGGGAAATCTGGGATTCCGAGGAGGAAATGCAGTAACTGAGAACAGGGGAGAGGAGAAAGCAGAGGTTTTTTCCTAGAAGGCTGGAGCCCCAGGTAAACAAGATGAAACTACATTACTTCAAAAAACACCAGAAGCTCTAAAAAAGAACAAGGAAATGGGAGGCAATGCCTAGGGAACAGCTATAGAGTCCTGGGAGGGAAGTACAGAGGTGACTTTCATTCCTTGGCTCCTCAGCCACAGAAGAGCGAACTCAGTCTCTGCAGTCATTGGTGGTTGGCTCCCAGGGGCTCTGTTATCTCTTCAGCTCCACCATCAAGCCTACAGAGGCTTCCAGGGAAATCCCCAAGTCAAACTGTGTCTTCACTCCTAATATCAGCCCTAGATCTACACCTGGATTCTTGCACCTAGCCTGGGTTTAAAGTTAGGAGTCCACATCCGGTCAATACAGCCCCCCACCCCACCCAGGCAAAGTGTTCCATTCCTCCAAGCAAGCTCCTTGTGACTCAAGCCTGCTGATAGTCCTCCCACAAAGCCAGCTTACTAGCATTCAGTGTTTTCCCCTGACCAGAGGCAGGCTGCACATTAGAGAAATAGCAAATTAGCAAGGGTTTCAGTTTCACTTGGTAGATGTGCATCTGAAACCCCAACTGCTCTACAAGAAGTCATGAAAACAACCTCTGAGAACTTTACTGAGTCTAAGACACATTTTCCTCCTCACAACAGGAAGTGGAACCCATGAACTAGTCAGTTTCAAGACCTTCATGTGGCTTTCTCACTGGGTAGGTGAAAACATTAACAGCCGCCTGAGCGTTTTGTAGACGATTCCAACCGTCCCTGACATTTAGAGTTAAATAAGCTATTCCTCCCAACTTATTTTTTTCCTGTCTAGATGTTATAGAGAAAAGTGACGACTTATTCTAAAAATCTAAATTTTCCCTAAGCTAGATCTAAAATTTGGGGGCAAGTCTCATTGAAAACACATATGTAGTTTTTAATTGGAGAAAAGCATACTTTTCCTCTGGCCTTGGAAAGATGGCTCAGATGTTTCATTTGAGAGCTGAGACAATAGCTCTGCCAACGAAGTGCTTGCTGTACAAGCATGAGGACCTAGAAATCATGTTAAAGAGCCAGCTATGGCGGTGTGTTTATAATGTCAGTATTAGGGAGGCAGAAACTGGCAGATCCCTGGAACCTGCTAGTCAGCCAGACTAGACTATTCAGCAAGTTTCAGGCCAGTGAATGACTCGAAATATAAGATATATTGTTCCTGAGGAATAACACCTGAGGTTGACCTTTGACCTCCACATGCACATCTATGCACAGGTACATGCCTGCACAGATGCATTTTCCGTGATCCTGGTCTTTAGCAAAAATTACAGTGATATGTTGATTAGTTTCATTTCTGTTGCTGTGGTAAAACACCATGGCAAAAAAGCAACTTCGGGGGAAGGGGTTTATTTTAACCTGTAATTTGAGTTTAAGTCATCACTCTGGAGGGAGTCACGGTTGAAGGAACTTGAAGCAGTTTGGTCACATCACATCCACAGTCAATAGTAGAAAGAAAGAAATGCAGACACACTTGCATCCCTGTGCACATCACACAGTTCAGGGACCCCTGTCTAGGGAATGGTGCCACCCACGGTGGGCTGGGTCTTTCCACATCAATTAACTTAAGGTGATCCCCCACATACATGCTCCAGGCCAGCCCAAAGCTCAACCCCTGATTGAGATTCTCTTCCCAGATAATTCTAGATTGTATTAAGTTGACAATTAAAGCTAACCATCAACTTGGACAAATGGTTCTTCATTTCTGGGAACACTGGTTTGCAGCATCTGTCACTTTTTGTGGTATATTCCTCACATGCCTGACAATATACACTGTCATTACTAAGTGGCAAAGAGTTTGGGGTTCCCCACAAATACTTGACAATTCCACAAGTTTCTCTCTATATTGTTGGAAAACTAAACTCAATTTTTAAAAAGGAATTGCAAGGCATTTGATTAGTAAAAACTTACCTGTGATAATACAATTAAAACTTGGCTTAACTTTTTCTGAACATTAACCACTTAAACATTATGCAATACCCAAATATGAAATGAAAATTCTCTGGTAGTGAATAATAGAGATGGGCAGTGGGAGTTTGACCCAAATGATGGGTCAGACTTTGATGATCCCTCATGGGAGGCCTCACCCTCCCTGGGGAGTGGATT